AATCAGGACCAAAAACTGAGTCGATTGATGTGTATATCTATTTATCGATTATCCGAGCTACTTTTTTAAATTTTTGCCTTACTTGCATGAAAAATTAGTTTTAAATCATTTTTGGAGTAAAAAAACTGACTAATTATTAATTTTCTCAACCAGAACTCAATTTCTATGTAATAAAAATATCATATTCGGAATCAGGACCGAAAACTGAGTCGATTTTTGATGTGTATTTCGAAATTGTTAGTTCATTTTTATTTTTTGGTGGAAATCTCTATGATTTTTCAACGTGAAAACTCGAAAAACATAAAAGTGCTCGTATAGGATAGATATACACATCAATCGACTCAGTTTTTGGTCCTGATTCCGAATATGATATTTTTATTACATAGAACTTGAGTTCTGGTTGAGAAAATTAATAATTAGTCAGTTTTTTTACTCCAAAAATGATTTAAAACTAATCTTTCAGACAAATAAGCCAAAAATTTAATTTCTATCGAATAATATATCGCATGATTTGCTTCCATTTGTTCTGACATTAGGAAAATTTACTTTGTCCACTGGAGTGCCACTGATGAGTGCTAACCGGAGCTAATTAGTAATCAAAAAACGGTCAGAGATATCGTTTTTAAACTTTTTTTGTATGGAATTATATCTACAAATAATTCTCTATAAAACTACATTACAATCAATTGAATGTAACATTTATATCGACAACTAGAAAGGTTTTAAAAAATGCCTGTCAAACTAAAAATTTCAATTAATTTTGAACTTAATTAATTAATAACTCCATACTTAATCAACGAGTTTTTTATTGCATAGGCATACCGCCGAGGGTGTTCTCTACAAACTGGTCAAATTTGAGGGCATGTTTGAGGGGAGGATCTCCCCCTTAATTTTGAACCTAGAGATTCACTGCAGAATGTAGGCAAGATTTGTAGCAGAAAATCGTTCAGAACCTGTATAAAATCTACATAGATCTGTCACCGATTCTTACAGAATACCAAAAGACCATCTGCTGGCTTTGAGAAATTTCTGAAGATAATTGTACGTTTATAAATATTTCTTGATACATATTTAACAAATAATTTGGTTGATGCTGCAACGTGTAGTAAAGTTGCAAAACTTTGTGAAGAATCTGTCGATATTCTGCGACAGATCTGTGCAGATCTTTCACAGATTATGCTAGAATTTCTGCATAAATGTTACCTATATTGCGCATGCAGATCCTCCATAGACATTCGCACATTATTAGATCTAATGCAGAAACCTGTAGACACGTTTTATTTTGGTATAGCGATAGTAAAATGACCCATACATCGGTATGGCATATACTGCTGCTGATAGTTTCTGTCCGTCAACCCAGTTCCACTGTACTACCGGTCTGAATCTCTCAGTTTTTTGAGAGTACGGTAGGATGAATGTGCTTTCTCGTTGGTGCTTGGTGCTATAAACTTCTGGATAGACTTAGCCCTCAAAAAATTAGGAGAAAGCCTTTTGATTGAACAAAATCAAAAAGCAAATGTGATGTTACCACACCGTAACTATGGCCACGGGGCTGTTTGATTGTCTACTCGTCTGTCAATTTTCCAAATTTTATAATTTTTAAAAAAAATTTTTATTTTCGGTTACTATTGTACTGTATATAGCCATTTGAATACATGTGCAGCACGTATTCGACGAGTGATTCATGAAATGTCAAATGTAGAACAAATTCGGTGAAACACTGATGGCTTGCAAAAGTTGTATGGTAGGAAGAAAGAGTCATTATGAGTAAATGAAAAAGATAAGAACAAAAAAAATGATTCAAGTTCATGTAAATTTCGATCAGCAAGCAGAAACCTAACGAGTTTTAACGACCAAATCCGACAGAAGTTCTGAGTATGGGAATCGAATTCGTGGAAGTCATCAACATTGAAAGGATTTCAACGTTTCTGTCAGATTCCAGTCGGGGGTATTTGATCTGAGAAGCAAAGTTGGTAATATGTAACTGTTTTAACAGCTGATACTTCATCACCCTACATTCGATTATATGTTTGTCATCTACAATTACAGCCAGCAAAGTAAAGAAAAGCATTCATTAACAAAATATCCGGTGTATTCATCACAATATATTCAACATTTATGATGTTGATTTCGAAATATTAGAAAATTTAATAAGCGACAAAAAAGATATCTAATTTTTAGAAAATATCATTTGTGGTTTTATCATAATCAGTCATGGTGACATAGAATAACTATTGTTTATTGCTTGGAGTGCATGATACAGTAGGTAATTTGGTAAACAATGAATTTGAGATAACATATCATTCATGTAGACTGGTATTGGATTACCGTTGATCATTGCAGTGTTATCCGGCATATTGTACAGATTCTGAAAAGAAAAATTAAATCTAAAGATAAAAATAAATATATATTTTTTTCTTTTCTGTTGTACTTGATTCGAATATTCCATATTTGTCGCTGGATGAACGAATGTTGATTTAGGTGCTGGAACAAAAAAATCTGTTGTGACAATATCTTGCAAACCACCAAAATGACGTAACTGATTTTGTTTTCGCCATTTGGCACGACGGTTTTGAAACCATATCTAAGTTAGATGATGAACTTTAGTTCAGATATCGGGATTCTGATAGAATAACTACTACTGCTACTACTACTACTATATTAGTATTATTATTATTAAACCAACACCTACTTGAATTTTTGATTCTGATAATCCTGTGAGCTGAGTGAGTTTTTGTCTTAATGTTGAATCTGGATAATGCGATAATTTAAATACATTTTCTAATTCGCGTACTTGATTCGCACAAAATACAGTGCGAGTTCGTCTCTTTAACATGTTGTTAGTATGTTCTAAATAGTGATAATGTTGCCCTGACATTTTTATTTTAACAACAATAAAAAAAGGTTCATTTATTCTTGATCTCTCTTTCTCTCATTTATTATTCGTAAATGAACATTTTTTTGTTTTAATTTGTGATATTGATAAAGTTAGCAACAGCATATATGATTGTGTGTGTGTGTGTGTTGTGTGTGTACATACAATAAAGATTACAACGACGAATAATAATAATGATGATGATGATGATGATGATGATGATGATAGGTAGGTAGTCATAAACTTGAATGAATGTTAAATGTTAACATTTGTTAATTTTCTTTTTATATAGTCATAAATAGGCATTTATTTGTTCCAATAAAGATTAGCATAATTGAATTGTAAATCAAATATAGTTATTAACTCTTCAATTATTTATGACCGATATACCAATTATTATAAATTATTAACATTCATAAATTAGTATCCACCTCATAATAATAGATTTCTTGATTCATTGCATCTGAATTCAGCAATTAACTCGAAGTCCATTAAACACGATCTAAAGTAATCAAGTCAGTGCAAGACTGTTGACACTATAGCTGTCAGTATCGTATGTAGACATACACCAGTATTAAACTGTATACTGTCCTCTTTTTCTCAATCATGTTAACTGAGAAGTACAAACTATCAAAGTTTTTGGACGACTTTTAGTTTTATAGAGCAAACTTTTTTCTACAAAATGAGGTGACACGCAACTCTTCACCTTTTTTCTTTCTGTCACAATCATTTCTCGACGAAAAGCTCTGAATCGGTATTAATCGGGACCAGCCACGGGACGTTTAGCAAACATTTTTATCTGAGTACTGATTCAAGATGAAAAGTACTGAAATATCTCATTTAAAGTCCTCAAAATATTATTAGAAGATCATTTTGAGGTATGAAAAATTTTTTATGTTGAAAAATATGCGGAACCACAGCCGGCAAATACCGGTGTCTAATCGTACTAAAATGTGGAATCCATTATCGCGTCTTTGAAGCAGAGCCGGACAAGTGAGGGTTTTTTCAAGCTCTATGTTAACGAATAAGAAAACTCTCTCAATTCTCGAGTCAAGTGAATGCTAACTTGACTTTGAATTGGACTCTTTTTGATTTAACTTGCTCTGGACAAGTTGTGCAGCTCTGCTTTGAAGTCGATTTTATAAGTATCTATTAATGATTCAGTTCATCTATTGATTAGAATGAACTATCAATTGATAAGACATCTGCGTAAGTTCAAATTATGTATGAGACAGAATGTTCAACTTCGATTATTGGAAGAATGAAGAAAAAAACAATTATTCAATTATAACGAGTTATTCTAATTTTTCTATATTCTAGGGCAAATATATGGCGGACATAAAAAAATGCCTTTTCCTACGCCAATTTTCTGATATTCATTGTATTATTCAACCTCATTAAGGCTAAAAAAGTATTTTAGTCTTAACTTCTAGTAGAATCCGTATTAAAAACTGTAATATGTATAAATGATTGAATTCTTCTAGTGTGAAGCAAAGCAGAAACGTGACTAAGATGTGTATCGAAGAGAAAAAGATTTTTTTCTCAGAATTCGGCACGTCTTTTGAAACTCTTTCAATTGAATTATATTTTCTGCAATCATATTAATTAAAAACGCTTTCTTTCTCTATCCTTCTCTCTCTCTCTCTCCTTCTCCCCTTCTGTTTGATGAAGAAACTATTTATATATTTTGCATAGTAATTCATTTATTATGAGGGAGAGAGAGAATGAATAACTGAAAAAACTCAAGCATTTTGTGCACACATGCAGAATATTGTGTAGTAAGAAAGAAACATCCCAAAACACAAAAATATGTAACAAATCGTTACACGAGTTCAGAAATGGAGAGGAAAGAATAAACCAGTAGACTACATCTTAAATGAAAAAATGAATGTCATTATCATCACAAAACAAAAGAGTGTTTGAGTGTCATATTGAAATTCTATCAAAACTTCAGCGGACAAACCTGAAAGAATGTGATCGTCTATATACTGGATAATAAAATGAGAGGACATAAAACAAACAAATACTGCCAGTCTGACAAACGACTTAAATGTCAAACGGGCCCACCTTGATTGTCCTATCGAACTATAATGCTTTACTCAGACGATATTTCTCAGTTTCATAACATAAGAATCTAAAATGATATACACGCATAGTACTTAGTTTTCGACCTCTCAGGTACTAAATCACATTCATATTTATATAAAAAAACTATTTTTCTGAGATGATGCTAGGATATGGGCGTATTACAAAAAATAAAAATTAGCTAATACCAAAATGAAATATCGTTCTATCTTTTACTAATTTTAATCAAGAGGCCATTGCTCAATTGTTGTTTTCGTTGTTGCTCATCGGAATGTATCAGACGTTTTTTATGATAAGGTTGCTGCTGATTATAAACTGTATAGTGTTGTTGCTGCCTTCCAACAGGAATACGTCGTGGTTGTTGGTAGCGAATTGATTCAGCTTTATTATAATGGTGTTTTTCAGGCGTCACATTTGTAAGACTAGAAACCGATGAAGTCGATGATGTAGAAGAATTTCTTGTTATTTGTGCATGTTGTGATGGCGATGATTGAGGTTGATGCGTAGTTGTACGACTTGAATCGGAAAATAGCGTTCGTTTAAATGTAGGCGATGAAGACGGTGGTGTAGACGTAGAAACAATTGTCGGTAAGGTGTTTAAAAATTCACGATGTTCATTGGGTCGTCGATAAGTATTATTCATTAATTTATTACCACGACGATTTGAATATTGATGTTGCTGTTTTTTTTTGATAAACGTTTTTTTCGGCAGTCTATTTAATTCCATCATTTCGGACTCGTCGTCTTCTGCTGATGTTGTTGTTGCACTTGATTTTTTCGAACGATAAAATCGATGTCTTTGAGACCTTATTTGTTTTTGCTTTTCTCGTTGATGTTCTTCCCACATACCTAAATCGTGAAATCGATCGCCTACACGATTATAATAAGATTTCATTGTATCATATTGATTTCGTTTATCGTCTCTAATACAGGGTAAACATAGATCACTAAATTTTGGTATTAATAACGTATAACACAGTGGACTAAAGGATGAGTTAGACCAAGCTATCAACAGAAGAATACGTAATAATTTTGCCGATACGTGAAATCTATAATTGATATAAATTTGGTGATGAATGATAGATGAAAAATATTCAATTTAACTTACTTTGTGTCACATAATGTTACAATAAATAATGGAAACCAGAAGAATATAAATAGTGCTATTATGACATTGTACGCTGTTATCCGTTGTAATATTTGTTGCATAATTAATGCTTTATTCGCAATATCAACACCTTTGATGATCGATAACGATAATAAGGGTGCGTCTTTTTTCCGTTTTTGTTTAACTTCTACATACACTTTACGAATATATCGAATTGTTATGATCAGTGAACATAATGTGATTATAATCCACATTAAATATAATACATAGCCACGTTCTTCTCTTATGATAAAATTACAATAACGATGATCGGTATGATAATAGATTTTTGCTTCTGAGCCAATCCATGTAATACCTGAAAATAGATCTCACTGTATCTATCTTAGGCCGTTGGGTATATATCATTTTTATAGAAAACATGTATCATAGTTCCTCTATATGTAGCTCAAAGTTTGCACAGTAATGGTTAAAATTGCATACATTCTCTTAGCAGAAAAATATTGATCATCTTCTATCTCTTCAACGATACAAGCTGTCCGAATGGAATTTTCACCAAAATGGTGCAAAATGTCTCAATCAAAATAGTCACAAACTCAAAGTTCAAGAGTGAAACGTTGAGTTTTTTCAGTTGAAAAAAGATTCGTGATACGTTTGCATAAGTCGGCGACTTTCTGCTGTAGCGACGCAACTACTATCCTTCACTAACTGAAGTCTTCAACTGCATTTTGGTAATGGTTTTTATTAAAATTTCTTCATGGTACCAGCAGTCCACTTTGAGTACACTGTATCTGAATCTGTATAATACAAATGTAAATTTTCTCTGCAAACAATCAGTATAAAATGTTTTTCAACGTAGTAAAAGTGGATTCAACGAACCGCTGTCAAAAACATGTTTCAAATTCTTTCGTTCGAATGAACACACGATATAATTCTCATCTTACTAGTTTTCTCTTCAGAATGTTTTGTTTTTGACACAGAAAAAGTGTAATATTTTACTTCATATCAATATAATCACACATGTCTTCGATCTCTCGTTTATTTTTTACCTAAATGTAAGATAATAGATGAACACCATATAATAACAATGCCAAATATCAGACAGCTACATGATATTGTTGATTTGAATACGCTTGATTTCCGTTGTGGTTGATTGTGATGGTGATGATCCTGTGCATGATATAACTGTTGTTCGTCCTGTTGTGTTTTGGCGGATGTTGATGTTGCTAATGACGTTGTTGACTCGTGATGTAACAAATCTTCAAATCTGTATGCTTCTAGAGCTACCATTGCCACAATATTTAATACTTGAGCTGTTACACACGCTAAATGTATATGTCCCAATGAATCACAATGAATGATCATTTTTTCTGGACTATTTTTCTGATTCATGAAATAGGACATTGCAAATGGTATACATAATATGGATTCTGTTAAACCAATGAGACAATGATGAAATAAAAAACAACTGTGTTTCGTACGAAATGTTCGTATGATTATTAAACAAAATATGGTGAATAAATTTGTTAATATACCAAAACCACCAATAGCATATAACATATAAATTTCAATTGAACCTACACCATTTAGAGTACGTGCGATTGATGACAAATGTAAATCTGTTAATATTGATGTTATATTCGACATACTACTCTAAATAGTAACGATGAAATTAATTCACCATTAAACATGACCTATAGTTATCAACAATAGTTAATTAAATACTCAAATATGTTCGATCATTATCATCTTACCTAGCCGTTACAAATATTAGCATGTTCATCTATTATAACGTTGTTAAATTAAACTAATAATACGTTTTTAATCTACTATATATACATATAAGTATCATTTATTGTCTCATTATGTGACTGATGATGATGATACAGAAATTTTTCTTTCTTAACCACGTTTCACTTCATTGTTACATCATTGTCACATCCCATAAAGCACGAAAAAAGGGAAATAGTATAGATTTTTCTTCTCGAGTTTTTTTTTTCTATAGAATTATACTTATAGTCTCTGTTTATTGTTCATTAACCATACATACACACACACACACAACACACACACACACACACAGATATTTCTTTGGTTTTTTAAGAAGAAAAAAAAAAATCAGAGAAATGCCGATGTGATATAACTATCTCTTATAGTTCTTCTTATTCTTATTGTTCCAGTCTAGTATAGTAGTGGATGATGTTTCTTTTTGTCGCCGCCGCAAATATGGTATAGCAAACATCGAAATAAAAGTTCCAATGATAATTGTAAATATAAGTATGGTAAAAGAAATCTACAAGGAAATATGTTTATATAGTATATGTTTGAGGGGTAGGAGGTGGAATTCTACTGTGCAGTGATCCTTGCGGTCAAAGAAGGAAGGAAGAAAATATGATAGCGTTAGTATTGTTATCATTTTCTATTATGCATAAAAAAAAGTCCATTTTTTTCTTTTTTTCTTTGAATATTCACTGATGCTGTGTGTATAAGGGTAAAAAAATATTATTTATTGGTATTTTGATCTTGTTTGCAAAAAAAAAATTTCTTACTATCAAAATCAGATTTTTTTTCTCTTTTCTTTTTCTCCTGTACCGTGGACCATCGACGAAGCAGATTGTGTTGTATACAAATGATAAGATAGAAAAAAAAAATTAAACTGAATTGTTCATCATTTCATCTACATAGTTGAGTTAATGACAAACATTCTAATAATATTTAAAAAATCGGATAAAAAAAAAGGAAAGCATTTCATATCTCATCTGGTATAGATTGTCTTACTTATTATAAGAATTTTTGTACGCTTGTTAAAGGTAGGATATAGTCTTTCGAGTCATCTAGAAGTTGAAAAAATGGACTTGTTCTAGCAACATCTCTAGTATTCTTAAAAATGAGCATATACTTTTGTGCTAAAATATTATTTGTAAAATCGGAATATGTACGGTCTATTTAAGCTCAAAATCAAAGTAAAATTCAGAATAAAAATTAAAAAGTAGAAGGAACGTCCTTCATCCCTTATCTCAGCTCGCCTGACTTCACCATGTTAGTAATACCTTGACAAGAACTGATTTTACAGAGTTAGTAGAAAATTATCATTGTTATTGTGTTTGTGCATCTAAATGATATCAATTATATTAGTAAATAAGCCTTGTAATTTATTTTAGATTATTGATATGTCATGCCTGTCATAAGTCTTAGTCTCAAGTGTGTATAAAATATAATTGTATTTCGGCTCAATCTATCATAACACATCAGCAATAATAAATGTGCCATGATTATTATTTTACAGATATAGACGTGAATAAAGGATTGCTTATGAGAGAACTTGCTAACGTAACGAGAAATACTGTAGCATAGCAAAAATTATTTTTTTTTCCATCCATTTGATTCGCCACATAAAAATAAGTATAAGAAATTGTTTTGTAGATCTCGGAATCTGAAGTAAGCTGAGATATAAAAATATTCTTTTTGAAAGTAATATTTCTTTCGAAAAAGCCTAATTCTAATCTGTTTTAGTCCTGCTCTTGTAGAACATTCATATCAGACAGAAACAATCCAAGCTCTCAAACAAAGAATAATTTCTGAATCAAAGAAACCTTAGAAAAGTCTTAGATAAAACAGTTGACTTTATTTGAATTTTAAAAACAAAAATATTGGTAAAGAGTCGAGAAACACTTCGATTGAAGCAGTTTGCACGGAGACTACGAAATACTACTATCATTCAGCGTAGGAATGCTCTTTATGGGGTGAAAAACTTTATTTTGAAATTTTTTGCTAATTTCTACTACTTGCCCAATTTCAATATCACTTCTGCACCTGTCCCACATCTTTCTATCAAAAACTATTTTGTTCATCAAATGTAAAACTGTTAGTTAGAGGATTAGTATTTGATAGTTTTCTTCTGAGATTTTGATCGAAAAATTTGATGTTTTAAAAATGAACATTTCACATTTTAATATAATCAAAATGAAACTCGTTTTGTGGATGAACAACTAGTTATTTATGTAGGTTTTATTCTCATTCAAACAGACAAAAACATCAAATTTCACATCGCATTACAATCGTCGTAATTTTGAAAAGATCGTTGTTTTCTAAAAATTGCGAAATAAATATCACCTAAACACTTCAATATCTCAGTTGTTTTCTAGCTTCTAAGATTGAGAAAGTATGCATATGCATTTCAGTATCGTACCTTCTAACCATGCTATCCTTGCATAATGAATCGAATGAACGGGAACGTCCTAATCGATTGAAAAGGAACAAAAATAACAGTGAAAAAGACTGAAAACGACTTTTTATTCACGCCACGCCGGATTAGAAATACTTCCAGGTACTTAAACCACTTTTTGAATTTTTGTAGATATCTCACTCAAGAAAAAAAGTCGAAAATGCAACGTCGTTAAACGTTTGCTCAAGACTTTATATATATGTATCTGGATAACTGCATAATATATGTATAAAGAAAATGTTTGTTCTACATTTTATGTTATCATGTCATATTTCTATACATGTTTGATTTGTCTACACTATGTCATCATGACAAATTCTATACATAGTTTTGAGACAGAAATAACATATCTTGACATTAGACACGATTGGCAAGTTAAATTAACCTGTTTTGCTGCTTTTGTCTTTTTTATCAGTCAGAATTGATTAATAAATAATTCATAATAAAAATTTGACTAGTTAAGAAATGAGATACAACACGATAGAACATTATCTTTATAAAACATGTCCAGGCCAAAAAATCGTTTTTGTTTTCCCGTCCATTCGATTCATTATGCAAGGATAGCATGGTTAGAAGGTACGATACTGAAATGCATATGCATACTTTCTCAATCTTAGAAGCTAGAAAACAACTGAGATATTGAAGTGTTTAGGTGATATTTATTTC